CACGTTAACACTACAAGCACCCCCTGCCCCTACTATCCTACCTCAGTGTGACCAGCACTCAGGACCATCACCCTACCAGTATAGAGGGCAACTTGGACCAGACAGCAGTGACAAGCACCGAGGCTGGGCCAAGCCCCCAGCCCTAGTGGAAGCGGAAGCGGACGAACCTTGCACAGATATCATAACATAGCTCGTAATGCTTACATTCCCAGATGCCTTTTGGCTGGATATTTGCCAGCCTCTTCAGTGGGCTCACTGCACACCTGTGTTTCGCCAGCCTTTCCATCCAGAGGAGGAGGAGGAGGAGGAGGAGGAGGAGGAGGGAGAGGAGCAGCTGCAGCAGGAGGAAGAGGAGTTTGACTGGGTCTCCAAGAGGAGGTTGTTGATGGTCACTGTGATCTCTGGCCAAGTAACTCCTTTCTCCATTACCTCGTCTCAACTAAAAATGACGCCCATCCACTATTTGAAAGTTGAAACAACAATTGCAGTGTGTTTATGAACCTCTCCTGATTGTGCGTGTTCAGGCTCATTGCGATTGCAGGGATTGTCACTCAGGCGATGGGCTCACTGTTTCTCCTGTGCTGCTTTTTTTGTTAATCTGTGGTTATGCAGGCAAGCCGCTCGGAGCATGATTAACTCATCTGCCACAGCAGGCTGCTAGTCTTGTGCTTGTACATATATACTATCAGTGTGTGTGTGTGTGTGTGTGTGTGTGCATGCATGTGTGTATTCGTGTGTGTGTCTGTGTTTGTGTGTGTGTGTGTGTGTGTGTGTGTGTGTGTGTGTGTGTGTGTGTGTGTGTGTGTGTGTGATCGATCCTCTTTCATCGTCTTTTACAGTCCTTTTGACTGGAAATGATGGCGTGCACATCGCACGCTCTCTTCCAAGGAGAGTTGTGCAAACCTGTGGTCCCTACTCCGGTCCCGCGAGCAGGTGACTCTCGTAAAGTGGTGTCAACAACGTTGGAAGGGTCTTTGGCATCCTCTTTTCGCACGTCATCCGAGGTCCACTGCTGCTTGTCTTCAACCTCGCCATTATCGTTGTCGTCCTCATCATATTCTGTTCCGTCGACTGTCTCTCACTCAAACCGCCGGAAATGCCGACAACAGACAGGCTCATTGACAACGGGTAGTCGATCGGTGAGTGCCTCTCTGCGTCCCTTTAATTCCAAACAGCCTTCAATTGCTGCTCTGCAGGGTGTAGAAAGCAGCAGTTTCTTTCGAAGTACCAGCGAAGCAGGTACTCGAAGCCGAGGATCAGGTGTGATGGTGGCACAGGCTCAGGACAGTTTGGCACAGACTACGGATAAGGTTATGGATAAGGCGATTCCTCCCGGGCGTGCGGAACCGGTTACGACGCCAGAGGTGGAGAGGTTGCTGGACTGTATGAAATGGGATGCCAACGGACTGGTGGTAGCCATCGCGCAGCATGTGGACACTGGAGCTGTCCTGATGCAGGGTTTTGCAGACAGGGATGCGGTCTCGGCGACGCTCGCGTCGCGTCGCGCTACGTTCTTCAGCCGGAGTCGCCAATGTCTTTGGACGAAAGGAGAGACGTCGGCGAACTTCATACACGTGGTTGATGTTTTCCTAGATTGCGACCGGGACTCGGTGATATACTTAGGGTCGCCCGACGGGCCGACATGTCACACGGGTGAGGAGACGTGCTATTTTATTCGCGCGGATGACGTCGTGTCCGGCGGGTTGCAGTACGCCAAGGAAAACAAGCTGCAGGTGTTGACCTCCCTCTATTCGTTGGAGAAGGTGATTCGGAATCGTGCCGAGGAAGGAGAGACTGCGGTTGTTGCTGCCGGCAAAACTCCTCCTGCTAAGCCCTCGTGGACACGTAAACTGCTGTCTAACCCGGAACTTCTCTGCGCGAAGGTTAGGGAAGAGGCCGATGAGCTCTGCAGAACGCTGGAAGAGAGTGAAGGGAAGGATAGGGTCGCATCGGAAATGGCTGACCTGTTGTATCATTCAATGGTGCTGCTGTCCTTGCAGGGTGTCACTCTCGAGGACGTCGCCAAAGTATTGCGCGGACGGTTTCCTCTCTCAGGTATTGAGGAAAAGAACAGTAGGGAAGGCACGTCGTAAGCAACGAAACGTATTGACCGAGAAGATATTGTTGATCAGTTAGAAAAGCACACTTCGTATAGGAACGGCACATAGCATGAGACTAAGTATTGAGGGAAAGGACCGTAAGAAAGCCACATAGTATGAGGCTAACAGTAAGAAAGCCACATATAAGCAAGGCGCCCACTGGCACCCATGTTTTCTCTTGCCCTTGACACAGCACGTTTTTTTTTTTTTTTTTTTTTGTGGGGGTGTGTGTGGGGAGAGCCCATGCTAATCTTCTCTGTATCGTTCTAATTTTAACAGATGTCCCGATGACTTGACACAGCACATGATGTATGCATGAGTTGTGCCTTGTTCTTTCTTTTCTTTTTTTTATCCTGTGCTTGTTCGTTAAACCACCAGTACTTCCTAGAGTCGTGCCCGTTAACGCGTCACGATTTTAGGAAACGTACGGGCCACTACAGGAGCGCCCAAATTCATCCAACTAGAAACATTTCTACTCTATTTTTTTCCGTGGCCGATAACTGGGCCAAGTACTGGTGGTTTTTTTTTTTTTTTTACCGCAAAATTATTATTAGTAGTAGTAGTAGTAGTACTGTAGTAGTACTAGTATTATAAAACTATTAGTATTATTATTATTATTATTTTTTAAATAACAGGTCCCTATGGTCCTGGCTGCTCGTTTTAGGGAGCGTCAGTCCGGTTCCTATTCCCCCGGCAAGTCAAGAATGAATACATGGTGAACACCCTCACGCCCCCTTCCGTTTGGCCAAAGGATCCCTTTTGAGCATTTGATTACTCCTTGGAGGAGGATAATTGACTGTCAGCTTGCCCTTCCCTTCTCTTCCTCTCAGGCCCGTTTCAGGTCCTGTCCTGTCTGATACAGCTTGACTTAATGAGAATCGTGGGAAGTTCAGCCTTCAGCTTTGCTATTCCACTGACGTATTCTTCTTGGTGGCCCATATCATGTCGGCTCCGACTGATGCCACTTCTTTGAAACCCTGTTGTCTGTTATTGTGGGGATCTTGCCCTGTAACAACCAGTCTCTCAAGAACGTCCGTCTCTTGATTGCATGCGTTTTTGGGCTGTGCTTTGTTGAAGCGGCCACCTTCCCCCAGTTGCTCCGGATTTCAGTTTCTACCATCCTTTTTTTTTCTTTTTTTTTCCCAACAACAATGCTCCAATCTATTCTTGGGAAGCAGCACGTGCTGGGAACCGGGCCCAGCGTCCCTTTTGAAAAAATTCTTCAGCACAGAAAATGACCAGGACCATTATCCGTAGTAGAGTCCACATTTCTTCTCTTGCCAATTATGTCCCCTCAATTTTCCAGATACATCCGTGTGCATCTGCCCTTCCAGATGATCCAGTGTGTCAGCTTTCGGAGTAGCTTGAACCAGATGTCCTTGCTGCCTTTGAGATTGCTGGAGGTGTTAGCGAGTAGAGTGAAGAGAAGAGGGTGGACCAAAGGATCGGGATCTTGTCCCAGACCAAGGTGCAATGAACCCAGTCAGATGGAAAGTCAATGTCGGAACACATAATGTTTTTGCGCAATTTCAATGTCTCTGAATCGTACATGTAATCAAGCAGCACAATGTCTCGTGACCAGAAGAGGCAGATGGGAGGGGGAAGAGACTTAAGAGGGTGGAAGAGAAAGTACCCATCAACTATGAAGATAGATCTCCCTCATAAACCCACTCCTCCTTCGGGCATCCCCTACTTGCCAGGTCAGCAGGAAATCTCCTCTGACATGCTCTGACAATGAACATATCTTATCATGGTGCACACGGTGCAGACTCCTCTGAAGACAAACAGCAATGCGCAATGTCGACACGAAAGCAGACAGGTAAGCTTTCCTTACGATCAACCAATCTCACAGCCCTGATCCTCCTACCCGCCAGCATCCCATCAACGTCGTAGACAATGTGGCTAGAGCCAAGTCGTCATAATCAAGTGTCCAGCTGGCGCAGTAACAGAGAAGGCGCCAACACCCAAGCAGTAGCAGTCTCGCGTAGTCGCTCCAACGTAATGCCAACGTCCAACCAACGTCCAAAAGCAAGTGCTAGATTGAATGTCTGTCAGCAGTGGTTGGGTCAACATATCGTGTTGACTTTGGTTGACTAGCCTTTGGTCTCTTAGATACGATGGCCCAGATTGACTCGCAGTGAATGGCCTGGATCCCATACAGTTGCAGGCTCCCCACTTGGACTTGATTATCGATATATACCTGCAAGCAGCCAAGTGTGTGTGTCTAGTCAGTGGCCTGGGTTGGGTCCATGTTGACTTTGACTTGTGAGCCTGAATTTTTGAGCTGTTGTTGACCTTTACTTTCCACGGTCAATTGTTGCACGTTGGGCCTCTGAAGCGCAGGTTTAGGCCTTGCTTCGGGTACCCCGCAGTAGCAGGGTCTTGTTCAGGCAGTTTTCATGGCTTGGGCGTGACCGTTGACCCTTTTTCTGGCCCTTGGATCCAAATGATGACCCATGACCCATAACTATTGTAAGATTTGGTTCTCTTGTATTCCATCGGGCCGAGGTTGGAGTTCCATCACATAAACTATTATTTTAGGCTTGGTTCTCTTGTAACTCTCTCTCATATGCAGTGACAATAGTGGGCGCAGTAGGTAAAAGTTATTTCTTACAGAACAGTCTTGATACTGAGATAGGTTGAGTGTTGAACTTTACCTTGTACTGCTTTTGCAGTCTTCCCTTGCGACCTGTGGAAAGTATCCATGTTCCAATATTCGTTCAACTTCATAACCTCCCTTCATAGAGGGTGGAAGAATGGATGGCCGATTGGGAAACTCGTGGCCGTCGACATATGGTAGCAGTTTTGACGCATGAAAAACAGGGTGTCTTAAGGTGAGCGGGTACGTCAATTGGATATGACAAGCCATCTGTATCCCCTATCACCGTTGCAACTTTCCACAGGTATCAATTCTTGAAATACATAATTCTTCGAGGGAGAATTCCTTAGACTTTATTCACATTAAATCTCCTTCTTTGAACTGAGATGGTCGGCGATGCTTATTTGCTTGTTCGATCATTTGTAGTTGGGCTTTTGTCTGTTCTCTTTTACTTTAGCTTTGTCTTGTTCATACAAAATTGCAATTTTTTTGGTTTTTGGGGGTAGCCGTTGGACTTGTTCCGTGGGCAACACATCAATGGGACGTCTAGACTTTCAACCTTTGCGCAGTGTGTTAGGTTTTTTGCCAGTAAGAGTGTGAACACTACTGTTGTAATCACTCACAATCTTTGGTAAGTTTTCATCCCTGTTAATTTGATCGGGCGTAATATACATTCGCAAAAGTTGTTGGTACAGTTTGTTCATTTGTTAAGTTTGACTTAGTGTGTCCATTTGTTTCAGAGTGTCTACCTGGTGATATGGTCAGTCTTGTGCCACAGGGTTCCATTAGCTTTTGCCATTGTAGGCTTGTGAACCATACATCCCTATCAGAGATAATTGTTTTTTGAAATTCATACTCGAAAACCCATTGCATAGGTGCATCTATAAGCCAGAAGTTCCTCACGAAATTCTTGTAATAGGTAGCAAGTTCTAAGAAAGATTGCAACTCTGTGACAATTTTAGGTCTAGGTCAATCTCTGATAGTGGTGATCTTCGTTTCCTCGAGCCTTAGTCCCTCTTCATTTACTATGTGTCTAAGATGAAGTACCTCAGACTGAACAAACTTTGACTTCTTACCTTTTAACTTGTAATTACCTTCTCTTAGCTTTCCTAGAACCACCTGTACATATTTTTCATGGTCTTCTAATGTCTTGTTATTATATAATATAAATGAGGATGTCGTTGAGATACACCATCACGAATTATCTAAACAATTCAGTCATTAACCTTTGAAATGTTGCAGCCTGCGTAGCACGGCGAACGTGTTCGCGCCCCTTCACGTTCGCGCGAACGTGTTCTCGCGTTCGCGCGAACAACTTGTGAACATGTTCCGGCGAACATAATTTTTTTCGTAATAAAAAAAATAAAGAAAAAAATTTGGTTTTTGATTTTTTAACTCGTGATTGGCTACAAATTTGAACACGATTCCAAGGAAAAAGTTGCTTGTATTTTCATTTTACATATTATATATATTTTTCAGAGTTTTTTTAAATTTAAAAAAAAATATATTTTTTATGTTCGCATTCGGAGGTTTTTGGGCGCTTGTTCGCGTTCGCCTCCGAACGCAAATACGGTGTTATGTAGGTTGCAGCGACGTTAGTCACGCCAAAGGGCGTCAGAGCAAACTCGTAGTGCCCATACCTTGTTCTGAACGCCGTCTTGTGTTAACCTTCATGTGCCACCTCGATTTGGTGGTATCCTGGCTTTATACCAATCTTGTTGAAATGCTTGCAACCCTGCCGTTGATCGAGAAGATCATCAATTCGAGGAGTAAGTTTCGCATTCTTGATAGTTACGGAATTCAGTCCTTAGTACTCAATATATAGTCTAAGTTTTGCTTTCTTTTTGGGTACGAATAACACAGGTGCACCTTAGGGAGAAAAACTTGGTCGAATGCTTTCTTTTTGGGTACGAATAACACAGGTGCACCTTAGGGAGAGAAACTTGGTCGAATCCATCCTTTGTGAGTAACTTCTTATTGTTGCTTTTTCTGTTTTTCTAATTCCCTCAGAGAAATTTGGTAAATTGGTCCCTTGGGAATTGTACTTTCGGGAATGATTTATGTTATGTGCTTTATAGTGCGGCCAGGTGCTCACGTTGGTTCAGTCTGCAATCATTATATTCATTGAGTAACTTATCAATATAAAAAAAAAACATCCACCCACTCATTTGACAAATACCATTATTTCATCATGTGCCAACTTCTTTTCCGTGACCATACTCCGAAAGACAGATAGACTCGTACAACAAAAAAACACTGACGAGTCAGAATCAGACTTATAAAAGAGTTTAATCCATTTCATTTTTGATTTTTCATTTAAACAACAAGTACCTCTGAGCTCTTCCAACGGGCGTTTACACCCCTGTTGTGTGCACGGGATGAAAAAAAAAAAGGTACAAAAAAAAAAACATATACCCTTTGGACGTGAAAACATCTAGATATATAATTTGGGGCATATATGACAGTATGTGCTCGCGATGAACGTTACTTCAAGAGTTGCATTCACGATAACAAAAAAAATAAGAATCAATTCCTTGGACGTGAAAGTAGTTGGATACAATATATAGAATGCAAGTGATGTTATACCCTGAGTTTCAAAGTTGTCAGCTATCTGTGTAATGCGCCATGCCTTGTAGCAGGGTATGAAAAGAGGATGAAAAATAAACAAAAAAACAAAGACAACCAATAATGAACGTAGCTAAGTTTTTGTGTAGATACGTTCTTTGGGGTACCACCGTGAGCAAACCTCCTTTAAGACCTTCACCAACTTCCTCCCTTTTGACTCTGATGCTGCTTTCATTTTATTT